TTTTTTTTTGTAAATGGGCGGGCCAGCCCGCCAAGTCCGCGGCCCATGGCGGAGGTGGGCCGGACTCGCCATTTTGCAGCCCGCCAGGATGGCCCTCCCGGCCCGCCAAATGGCGGGTTTTGGCGGGCTGCGTGCTGGCCCGCCCCACCAGCCCGTTTTGACATCTCTATATATTGTCATGGCGATAAACAAGAGTGAGTGTCACTCTTAGAAATTTGATGATTTCAACTGCTATATTTCCAAAGGTTTTTTTATCGTAGGAATTTCCGTTGGAATATGCAAATTCCGTTGGAATTTTTATTTCCACCCCGTTGAAAAATCCACCGTTGGAATCGTCAAAATATAACGGAAATAATATTTTTGTTGGAATTTCCTTTGGAATCCATTGAAAATTTGTAACGGAAATAATAGTATTGAAATATCTTTTGGAATTTTCGTTGGAATAATATCTTTTGGAATAGATTTCCATTGAAATTTTATCATTTTATTGTAGTGTGCCCAATAATCAAACTAATAATGTTATTTACAGTTAGGTTTTTAATAACATATGATTTTCTCATACCCGAACATTTTATGAGCATTTTCCGCCCAAAACATTAATTACCTACTATAGATGAAAATAATATAAAATGATCTAAATAAAAAATAAATCATTAATTGCATAATTTTCATATTACTCGATTCTCGGTTTGTGTTTGTTTTAGTAAATTCTTGGTTTTCTTTAATTACGTTGATAGTGGTTTTGTAGGCAAAGATTATGTAAATATTATATGTAGCCGATTTTCAAACTCTTATTTATCAAGGATTCTTTTTTTTTTTAATAGATTTTCTAGAATCATTGATTTGGATTAGCATATGTTACATAGTACACAAAAAAAAAAGATATAGTAATATTTAAATTTACATGGCGTCAATTTTGGAATTCTCATTTGTGAGGATTCTTTTTTATTTTATCATATTTATTAGAACCAACAATTACAAAACATAAATTTATATTAATATGTAAATATATTTATATTAATACTTAAATATATTTTTCATTGTAGCAGATTTTGAGAATGAACGATTTTATATGAGATATATATATTTTTTTGAGATATACACCAATTCCCTTTATTGGTATTCTTTTTGTCAATTGTTTTTCAAAGGAAAATTTTTAAAATTTTGTATAGTAAATCAATTTTTTGTTTTTGTATACACAAAATATAAATTTATTGCAAGTTGTCACACATATATTAGGAAAGTTGTCCAATTAAAAATTGTTCAGTTTGAAAAAATATAACAAGTTGTCACACATTCAATTAAAAATTGTTTGGCTTGATAAAATTAGCCTAAAGTAATGTCTAATCACTAATGTTTTATATTTTATATCTAATATATATAATCTCTCTCATAAAATTAGCGTGATGTAATATTTAATGTTTTGTATTATTCATATATATTTTTGTAGATATACACCAATTCATTTATCCAATTGTTGTATATATTATCATATTATAAATAGATCCATCTTAGACTTCCATTTAAGTTCTAGCGGCACCAGTTCCTTTTGATTTTGGGGTTCCATTTAACAATCATCGTCAGTCTTTTTGTATAAGAAATATAGAAATTTTAGTGAATATTATATAGCTAATCAAGTATAATCGATATTAAACTAACAGCTCACTGCCTGACTGCCTCAGTAAGTTATCATATTATAAAAATATACACCTTAGGATTTATTTAAGTTCTAGATCACCAACTACTTCTAACCTTAGGGTTTCATTTAAGATCAGTGTCAGTCTTTATGTACGTTGACATATTATTAAAGAAATTGGTTCTTAGTAACGACCGATTATATGTTGTTGTTTTTACGTGTAAGTAATAGATAAGAGATATGCATTGGCATGTTCTTAAAAAAAAAACTTTTTTTGATCACGACCAATTGTATGTTGTTACGCGTGTAAGTAATAGGTCAAGAAGAGTCAAGGTCAACATTTATTGTACGTTGGCATGTTAAGTAATAAATCAAGAAGAGTCAAGGTCAACATTTATTGTACGTTGTCATGTTCTTAAAGAAATCGATTTTTAGTCACTGACAATTATGTTGTTTGTTTCTCGTGTAAGTAATAGAAAAGTGTTGAAAATATTAGTATGTGGGGACCACGAGTTGCTCAGTTATTGAACAAATAATGTTGTGTACAAGAAAATTTAAATAATATATTTTTTTTGCATGAGAAACAATTTATGGTTTGATAATTTTCCTGCGAATTATCGCTCTTTTATTTATTAATACATTTTAATTTTTAATATTCTCCGAAGTAAATACAGCCCGTGCATCGCACGGGTTACATACTAGTTTGTAAATAATTATGAATGGCTTCATAAGTCGAGCAATAATGAAACTAAAAAAATCAAAAATTGATAATGGATCAATTCAAGATGAGAGCTTTTGAAAAGGAGAAATAAAAACTAATAAATACAGCTAAAACCAACAAATTTTCATTTTAATCATAATGACCCTTCTGTGAAGTGTGTATCAATATCAATGGAGGCCTCAGCACTCCTCAGAGCCATTAAACCCTTCAAATCGAAGCTGCCAAAATCCATCGCCATACCACGCTCTTCAATTTCTTCAATTCACACAGGTGAATCACCATCAAGAAGGAAAAAGAAAAGGGGATATTTTTTTTTCCTTTTTTTTTTCTGCATGTGCGCGCGTTGCTAGAACGCGCCGCCGCGAATCACCCATCACTGCCGGTGACGGGGCGATTATTTCTCACCTACCACGAAAACCCATATCTTGATTTCTTGTATTTCTTCACAAAACAGAAAAATTCTATGTATCATTGTTTCGCTTTGTTTTTCGCAGGTGGAGATGCTAACCGGAAAAGGGCATACGACGGGTTGTTGTTAGACGCCGGCGGCACACTCCTGCAGCTGGCGAAGCCAGTTGAGGAAACGTATTTAGCCATCGGCCAAAAATACGGTCATCAGTTCAAGCTTCAATATTTTTACCTTTTTCATTGATTTTTTTGATTTACTGCTCCAATTCAGTATCAAGGTGGATTCTTGAGGCAAAAAATAAAATAAAATAAAATAAATCTTTTTTTTTTTTTTCTGTTTTATTTGTGTTTGTGGTTTACAAAATTATAGTATCTGGTGTTTGTTTGGCTTGTGAATTTGGACTTTAATCCTGATTTTTAGCTGTGTGGGAGCCAATAAACAGGTCTTAAATCCACAGCAGGTGACATTAAACAAGGTTTCAAGAGAGTTTTCTCTGCCCCATGGCCGGAAAAGCTCCGGTACAAGGTTTGTAAGGAGTTTCGAACATCATAATACGAAGAAATTGAGAAAAAATACACAAATCTGGGATCTGTTTGGGAATGTTGATATCTTCAGAATTCATCAAAATGGCCTCTTTACATATGTTCATTCGAGCATTCGATCTGTACATATAACTGCAGCTAATTTGTTTTGACGCATTATATTTTCTTCATGCCTTCAGAATGCATCAAAATGGCCTCTTACATATGTTCATTCGAGCATTTATATATAACTGCAGCTAATATGTTTTTGACACATTATATTTCTTCATATAGTTATTGAAACTGGATTTAAATATATTTGAATTGGATTTAAATATAATTGAACAGGGTGATGGTAGACCGTTTTGGAAATTAGTAGTTTCTGAAGCCACCGGCTGTGACAATGCAAATTACTTCGAGGAAGTATATGAGGTGACTATGACTAGAATATGCTCATTCGTGCTAAAATGATCCAAAGCTTGTATTTTGTCGGTCAATATTAATTGTCGTAATCTTTTATTTTTTTCCCGTTAGTACTATGCAAATGGTGATGCGTGGAAGCTTCCGGAAGGAGCTTATGAAACAATGTTATGCCTCAAAGATTCTGGAGGTGTCTTCAAAGTATCTACATTTCTGTGCATTAGTACTGAACACTGATCTATTTAGTTTTTTAAGGTATTTGGTAATATATCCTTTTGTTTATGTTGAGCGGTGAACTGAATATGATGGTGCAGTTAAATTGGCTGTTGTGTCGAATTTCGACTCTCGCTTGAGGAAGCTACTGAGGGATCTTAACATATTACATCTGTGAGTTTTTCCAAGTTTTTTTTTACGGGTTTTACCTCTTTTATTTGGTATATGTTTTTCGGTTAATGATATTCAACTAGCGAAGCTTTCGTTTTCAAGGGATCTTGGATTTTTCGGAGCACTTCTTTTTGGTTTTAAATCAAACTTATAACTTTTGCTTATTGTTTGTGGCTTTGGCTTGTTAAACATGAATTTTTTCACCTTTTACATTATATCTTGATTTAGGTTTGATGCCGTCGTTATATCTTCAGAAGTCGGTTATGAGAAGCCAGACGAGAAGATATTTCGAGCTGCTTTAGGTAAGGTTTTCAGATAATTTTTTTCTTCAAATTTATTTCAAGTTGGAAAACTGGAAAAAAAAAATGAGCTTAGAAAATATTGTAGAACAAGTAAAAAGAAAAAAATAACACTGACATTATTGTAGAACAAATCTCGGTAGAGGCAAGCAAAGCAGTTCATATTGGAGACGATACAAAGGCCGATAAGGTTGGGGCTAATGCCGTTGGAATTGACTGCTGGTAATTTTTTTATTTTTATATGTTAAATGTTAAAATAAACCGAACCAACTTGTTGGAATTGCATTAGAAACTACTCTTGTATA